GTGTGGGGCCGGTTTTGTAGGATCTACTTACGAGATGTCAAATCATGCGTATATTTACGTCCACCCATTGAGTATTATGACCTTTATTAGTAGTCTGGTTTGAGCTGAATTTATTTTAATCAAAATCCATTTAACAAAGCTTGGTTATATAAACGTACATTTCGATGCAATATAGATTTACAGCTACTTAACTCACATCATGTATAAACAATGCTTTGAGAAGACGTATAGAATTAGACTTTCTAAGCAGCGTGAATTCCTTGTTTTATCCACTCAAGATGCTGCTTGCATTAATTATGGAGGATCTAAGTGATAGGTAGATGTGGCAGCCTATTTTACACAGCTCTCCTCTGGGGGTGTTAGGGAGGCATGTTCCACTGCATACTGCTCTAGACCCTCTAGATTTAACCCTGGCTGACTAATCTATATTAGTAGCAAACTGAGCAAGCGATAGTTAAAATGGGCTGACAAATAAGCACTTGTCCATTTCAAATAACTAAACTACAAAGTAAAGAATAGTGTTATTGACTGAGAGGAGTCATTAGGAAGGGCAATTGCTCAGTCTTTCGCTTAATTTGGCAGCTTTTTCCTGCAAGAGATACTGCTTTATGATAGTTTTGCAAAACTAAATCTGAAGCGCTTTACTTTAGATCATCCTGACGTATTCAGACGGATAGGGTGGTGTGCTAGAATAGTCTTTGCGCACAGAAGTGATGAGAATCTGCTGATGTCAAGCCTTGTATTATACCATTACGAGGGTGATGCATATCTGAGTGGACCAGTAATTGGAGAAGTCGGCTTAATCCGGTGATCTTGGCCTCATCGCTACACCAGTTGTGCAGATCACTGCGTCTTCGTGATTAACAGCAAGTAGGGAATGCAAACGATTAAATGAAGATAATCGAGCTATGGTCTTTTGACAAAGTGTCTGATCTCCTTTCTACCCTCATTTAGCACACCATTTTGGAATGCAAAATGGGTTTTCTTCTCCTCACTTTACAAACACCATGGCAATATTCTTGTGTCACTGTGATAGTAGATGAGCATGAATGTCAAAGACTGGGGCAGTTCTACAAATCAAGTTAATGCTTTAAGAGAAAATAAATGATGTGCATTTCCATCGGCTCAAGGTGATAAACATGACAGCATTTGGATACTGTTAGACGAATGAGTGGTTTTAAAAAGGCAATATCCTTGATGAAGTTACAAGGTGCGACTTTGCCATAAACTTTCTTACAAACGTGGATAAGGGCAGCTTATTCTGACCCAGACCACCCTGCAGGCCTAACCATCACCGTCTTCATAAGCGCATGCTTTGACGCACTTTCTTCTTGACGAAAGCAAATGCGCCTGAAATGTTACCCAGCTATTCATGTTTCACACGTTGCCAGAGACTTTTACTTCACAAATACTAAGACTTTATGGGTGGGAAGAGTGGGTGTCAATTAGCTGCCTTTGCATTGTGCTTGATATTCTTCCGCATCAACACAATCCTACAAGTCGGCATTTTCAATGCAATTCATGCATTCAAAGCAGTGGGGCCAATTTGAAGCCGGGACAATGGAAGATGAAGCAGGTGAGGTAGCAATTGATTAAATCGTCTTTTATACAAATATGCAAATCGCGTGGGTGATTCCACTATGAACAGGGAGAAGAAATGCTGCATGTACAAGGAGACATGAAGATATGACACAGAACCAGAGCAGGACCATACAGGGGCAGTCAGTAAAACGCCCCTAAATATCTTGCACTATGGGACAGCTACACCAGTATGGACTTCACTCCTTCTTTCTCCCCTCTTCCCGTATCCGGTGTACTCTACAAGCAACGGCATGTTTCTACGGTAGGGCTCTTTCGGGATTGTGTGGTCAATAGACAGTTCGGCAGCTTCCTTGTTTGTGACGTTTAGTTCGGGCCTGCTTCAAAACTCTGCTCACATGCTTTTCACTTTCACCTTTCCCGTTTCAACTCCCACTCTATCATTCACGGTTTGTGAATGGCTCAATTGTTCTTATTATCTGCTTCGCTTGCGATATCACGTTACTGATTGAGTGACACATGACTCTCCTTAGTACTGCAATTTGCAGCAGCGCTAACGATAAAGAACTTCTTTAACTCAAGCACGCGACTGTTTGACATTGATCACCACTTTATATTCGTGATGGGTGGAGATGTTGTGGGTCGGACAATAGCCGTGGAAGTAGGGCAGTGGATGGAAAAAGGCCCTCAAACATTTTTTTTGCAGCAAGGCTAGGTTAAAAATGTATAACTATGAATGAGAATGAAACATTCGCTTACTTATCACTAAAGCAAGAAGGTTTGCAAAAGCGCGACACTATAGACCAGTGAGA